ATGTGGAACCTCAAAAAATAAATAAATAAAACATACAAAAGTCTACTCCAAACCTCAATGTAACAAATTTAATCACCAAATAAACAAACAAACAAATACATACATACATACACACTCAGTTGCCCTGAAATATTAACAATGTTTGGAACTGCTCATCTAAAGCATTTTATTCTGTTAAGTATTTTTCTAAGTGAATGTGAAACATTGTAAATTCTGAAGGGATACTTATTAAATTATTTCCTGTAAGGACATCTACCCTGACTCATATTGCAATAAGCCATTTTCGGCAATTTTATAAACATAACTTTGTATCTGCAAAGTAGTTCCAACACTCCATTAGTTATTCATATAACAATGCCGAAATGTATGCACTTTTCAATTTGATTAAAGTCCAGGTCAAGACTTAAGGAATGTTAGAACTGCAGATAAGATGCCTGCACTTACTAGAAGAAAGACCACAATTATTTCACCTACCCAGAAGAACCCTGCTAAGTTACCTTCTCAAAAAAATGGAAATTCCAATAGTGGTGCTACTTATCTCACTCAACTATATCAAGGAAAGCATTCAGCGAACCTTAAAGCATTGAAATGGAAGTAGTTTTGGTTGTTAAGTGTCTGTGACTGTCAAAGAAAACTTCAGAGCATACACATTTCTTTCAGGACTGGGAATACATTAGGGTCCAACGCAGAACAACACAGCTATATTAAAACAATGTGGTTCGTAACTATTAGTCCTCTTAAAAAGCTGACAAGCCCAATTTGATTTTTTTTATAACGGACCTATACAAGAGAAAATATTCTCTAAAATACTAGATTTGGAGCTAGAGATTATAAAGTCCTTGAGGACAAAGGTACCAATCTAGTACCCTCAATTTTCTCATCTGTGAAGCAAGGTGGTTGGGCTAAATGATTTCTACGGTACCTTTCTGGTCTAAAAAACCTAGGATATCTAGGTTTTGGCAGAGCCCACAATTAAACTACTTCACACTACATACTGTGTATGTTTTGTAGTACATGTAGTATGTACTACATACATACTACATACACAGTATGTAGTACATACTCTGAGTTTACCTTAACAGTTGAAAACAAAAGTTTAATATTTCCATATTTTACCACAGTAAAACATTGAAGAAATATTTTGCACAGATTGTGTTAAAGCAAGTGAGTGTTGAAGTGTTGTATTGAAGCAAGCAAAATAATGCTTCCTTTAAAAGCTTCAACAGTTTTTTTAAAAAAATTTAAATACTATAGATAAATATCACCAGTTTTATTCATGTTTGTTATCAAAATGTAATAAAAAAAGATCCAAAGGATAAATAATTAAAAGGGAAACATAAAATTTAAGATAAGATTTGAAAATGCAGGATTTTAGACCAAACAAGTATATCCCATCAAGTGAGATCTGGTCTACAATTTTATTGAACAATTAGGAATTCCATCAAAACAATATGATGAAAATAGCATAGAAAGTAAGGAGAGCTATATTCCAGAGAACCATAATGATTTGATATCAGCTCAAAGAAGGTCTCCAGTGCCCTTAGGAATATATGCTTAGTTCTATGCTAAGCATAAGCATTTGGATCAATGAGTTATACATAAAGCTACAGATGGCTTGATTATCAATCACTCAAAAAAAAGCACTTAATAAGTTTGTAGATGAACCAATAGGCAATTCTAACGCACAGTCAAGATTCAAAGATTTTGATAGGTTAAAATGTTGGACATAAGATTTATTCAACAAGTATTTAAGTACCTACTTGTGCCAAGCACTATACTAGCACAATGGATATAAAGACAAAACTAAACACACACACACACACACACACAATAAATACAAAGTAATTTTGAGGAGGAAGGGCATTACTAAGAAAGAAAGAAGGCAGAAATCAGTACAGGTCTCATGCAGGAAAGGAGTTAGGGATTCTAAGGAGGTGGCAATGTATTCCAGGTACGGAAGATTAGCCTTTGCAAAGGCACAGAAGTGGAGGATGTTTTAAAGTGTAAAGGGAATAGCAACCGATGCAGTTTAAATGGAAGAATTTAGTAAAGGAATTCAAGTTCATGCCATATACTGATCAGCTGATGGGGGAGGAAGTTAAGGGTGGAGGAAACTGGATTTAGGATTAGCCATGTTCATGCATTTTAAGGGTTGTTACATGGAAGAGATATTAGACTTTTTCTTTCTGGCCCCAGAGGGCAGATCTAGGACCAAGGAGCAGAAGCTTTAAAAAAAAAAAAATCTTAGTTAGGCTCAATTAAAAGAAAAAATGGCTAATCTAGCCATTAGAACTATCAAAAATGGCTAATCTAGCCATTAGAACTATCAAAAATGGCTTTCTAAGTGGGTGGAGTGTTCCCTCTCACTGCAAGTATTCAAACACATGACCAATTAGTATGATACAGAAAGGATTCTTTTTTTTATCTTTCAAGAAATTATTTTTTAACTTTATTAATTTATTTTGATTTATCAACAATCACTTCCATAAGCTTTTGAGTTTTAGATTTTTCTCCCCCTCCCTCCCTACCTCCTTCCCCAAGACTGTACACAATCTGATATAGGCTCTACATAGACACTCCTATTAAACATATTTTCACATTAGTGATGTTGTAAGTAAGAATTAGAACCAATAGGAGGAACCACCAGAAAGAGGAAACAAAACACAACAGAAGAAAAAAAACAGCAAATAATATGCTTCGATCTGCTTTCAAACTCCATAGTTCTTTCTTTGGATGTGGATAGCATTTTCCATTGTGAGGCCTTTAGAGATGTCGTAGATCTTGCATTGCTGAGAAGGGTTAAGTCTATCAATATTAGTCATTGCACAACGTGGCTGTTACTGTGTTCAGTGTTCTCCTGGTTCTGCTCACTTCATTCCGCATCAGACCATACAAGCGTTTTCTGAAGTCTTCCTGCTTATTATTATTGAGAAAGGATTCTTGTTCAGGCAGGAATTGGACTATTTGGACACATGAGAATCCTTCCAATTCTGAGATTCTATGATTCTACCACTAATAAGAGGTGTGACGTTGGACAAACCATTTAACGTGGAGAGGCAACCAATTCCTAATCTGTCACTGATCAATAAATATATATCAAGCTGCTAGCAACACAGTACTTTAGGGATTGAGGCTAAATAAAACTCAGCTATCCTAAAATGAGTGGGGGAAAGCACAGAGTAGAATATCTCTAAACTTTTAACTCTAAAATACCATAATTCTAATTTTGAAAGATGCTGAAACAATGCCAAGGAAAGAAATATTATATTTTTTCTTATGATGTATATTCTGAATTAAGTTTTCAATTTTAAATGTTCAATAATCACTTTCTTGAGCAGATATTTGCTCCACAAATGGGCTGTTAAAAAAAAAACAAACCACAAAAACACTCAGATGCCCAAAATATATTATTAAAAGTAACACAAACTTTTACCCTCATCCCAAGAAATACAGTTCCAAATGTGCTCTGACAAAATTATCTCAGTACTGGGGCAGCTGCTTGGTGTTTGAGGCTCCCTTGGACTCTGAAAATAAAACTCCCCAATCCTTTATAACAGAGATGTAATGGGCCACAAGAAACAGCCTTGCCCTCTCATCTAGACTTTTCAGGCAATGATTTACTGCAGTTCTATATCCTGTACCACGCCTTGAACATTAGTGACACACCCACAAACAATTACAGCAGGCAAGCTGTAATAAAACAGCTTCCTTTGACCACCCAACCACCTTCTCTTATTTCCCTCCTCCCTTAACACAACAGGTCGAATCTAGCTTAAAACAGTCTAAATCACCATGTAGAGGAAACTGATGTGGAAGACAAAGCATAAAACACGGATTCATAGTAACCTCAGCCTAGAATGAGTCATTTATTTATTTATTGAAATTGATGAGGACACAAAGTGTAGACTACAAGTTTTTATTAACCCTAGCTTAAAACATTCAACGAAGTCACTCATTTTTATAGGAAACTGGTGTGAACACAAAATATAGACAAAACGTTCTTTATCTAGGCCGAAAACAATCCAACTAAATTACCCCCCACCCCTTTTTTTAAGTGGGAAACTGACGAGGTGAAAAGTGTGGAGAAGGGAGGTTCTTAACCTTAGCCTAAAACAGTTGAACTAAGTCACCTTTTTTTTTCGTAGGAAACTTCTGTGGACGAAAAGTGTTGACAAGAGGATCTTAACCTGAGCCTAGAATACTTCAACTAAGTCAACCTTTATAGGAAATTGATGAAGACTTAAAGCGTAGTCGCGGGTTCTTAACCTTAGCCTAAAACAATCCAACTAAGTCACTCATTTTTATAGGAAACTAGCGTGCACACAAAGCGCTGACAAGTTCTTCATCTCAGCCTAAAACAGTCCAACTAGGTCAATTTTTTAAAATTGGAAAACTGACGCGGATGGAGTGTAGACAAGAAGTTCCATAACCTTAGCCTAGAACAATCCAAGTAAGTCGACCTTTTATAGGAAACTGACCTACACGCCAAGTGTAGACCTGAGATTCTTCACCTTTCTGTATCACGCCTACCCTTGGGCAGTCTGATTTAGTCTACAGACCCTTCTCGGAATGTTTTTCCATTAGACTGGGAGCTCCTTGAGAGCAGGGACGTTTTGTTTGATTTGTCTTTCTTTGTATTCCCTGTGCTTAACAAGGTGCCTGACACGTCGCAAGTGCTTAGTTACTGCTTGTCACTTGATTAAATGCACCACACAAATAGGCTTACAAAGGCAAACAATTACACTGACATAAAGTTATTTTTCTTTTTTCCATTCCCGGACTCCAGGTTAATTGAGCAGCGCTCCCGTAGCCGGCCCACACCACCGCCCTCTCGGCACCGGCAGATCAGCTGCTATCTCCCCGCCCCAGGTGGGGTGTGGTCGGATCCCCGAGGGCCAGCACCTGCCCGCCCCACGCCGGAGGGGTGGAGGTCGAGGGCCCAGGCCGGGGGGCCGACCAGCCCCGCCGGAGCCGGGGGAGGGGCGCGGGCCCCGCGGTACCTTGAGTCCAGCGGCAGAAGATGGTGTCGGAGAGGCCGGGGCTGGTCTTGGGGCCCCACACCAGCTCCATCAGCTCTTTCGTCAGTTCGGACATGATGAAGTGCCGGCGAGCGGGTTTTCGCTTCCAGGCCTCCCGCCCCGAAACATGGGGATTGGGGAGGCTGGGAAGGCTCGGGCAGAGGCAGCGGAGGGGAAGGGGAGGAGAAGAAGGAAGAAGAGGAGGAAGAGAAAAAGGAGAAAGAGAAGGAAGAGGAGGAAAGAAAGGAGGGGAAGAAGGAGGAGAGGGAGGAGGACCGGGAGGAGGATGGAAGGCAGCGGGCACTTCTGCACGGGATCCGGCGCCTGTCAGCCCAGCCACCGCGCCGAGTTTCCGCAGGACCGGAAGTTCTCCGCCACTTCCTCCCCTTTAGCCCCACCCACCCATCAGAGCTCGGGAGGCGGGGGCGGTTTCGGCGCGTCCTCACCGGAAGCGGAAGTAACGACAAGAGAGCTTGAGGAGCTCGTTCCTGCTTGATGGTCAGGGAGCTGTCCAGCCCGCTCTCTCCTTTGGTTTAGGGTGAACCGAGATTAGCCCGAGATGGAGGAGTTTCTTTGCGGGACAGCCATAGCTTCTGTCCTTTTCTCCCCATCTCTCTGTCTCCCATCCCCTCCCGCCCCCTACAGCACCTCAGTCATCCCCCTACAGGGAACACCTTCCAAGGCTCACCGGAGGGCAAGGTTCGAGCTCCCTTAGTCTGTAAGAGTATTATTATTTTATGATAATAATAATGTTGTTCAGTCGTGTCCGACTCTTCGTGACCCCAGGGTTAAGTGACTTGCCCAGGGTCACACAGCTAGTAAGTGTCTGAGGCCAGATTTGAACTCACGAAGATGAGTCTTCCAGGCTCCAGGGTCAGCACTATCCACTGTGTCACCTAGTTGCCCGAATAATAATAATAATAACAATTTTCATTTATATAGCGCTTTAACAAAGTGCTTTACAAGTATTTTATGCTCACAACACCCTGGGAGGTAGGTGCTCCTATATAATAATAAAAAATAACTCTCATTTTTACAGATGAGAAAACGAGGCAGATATTGTCCAGGCTCTCTGTTCCCCACTGAAATAGTTTTCAGCAAGAGAGTATAAAAATTGAAGAGAAAAGGACCAGGATGGCAGAGGAGGAAGGGGGAGGATGAAAAAAAGTCGAACACAAATTGGGCATTTTAACCTTGTCAAAGGATGGACATGTACCTGACCTTTGAAGAATCTGACTCCTTCTTTGTGTTCTTTCTTCATTTTACTGAATTGTGAATGTTAGGTATTGTTAGTGGCAGTAGTAGGAGCAGTCAGCAGTAGTAGTAGTGTGACTTATGGTGATATACTGGATAAAGAGCCAGTTGGAGTCCAGAAGTCCTAGGTTCAAAGTCTTTGACACCTATTGGTTGAGTTACCGTGGGCAAGTCGTTTAATATCTCAATGCAACTTTTGTAGAAAAAGCCTCTAAACCTGGAGCCATGGGACTTGAATATAATTTGAGCTCTGTCACTTTTTGTGTGGAACCTAGGCTGGTTACAACCTCTAGGAATCCTTAGGCAATTCTGGTGGAAAGACCTCATCCACAAGAATTTGAATCCAAATTTGGTTCTACCTTTTAGTACTTGTGTGGAGCAAGTCCTAAACTCTCTGGGCTCCTGCTTCCTCAGGTGGAATTTGGACTATGTGACCTACCACTGAGGTTTACAAGTCTAATTCTACAAGGCTATGAATTGCAAAATGGTTGCTCCTATATTTCCTGTTTAAACTTGAATGTAAATTATCATTGGTTTGGTGTCTGGCTATAAGGTAATAACATTGGGCCAGGTGACAAAGATTAATCCAGAAGCAGTTGTTATAGATAGGCAAATATGGGAAATGAGAGTATTCTAAAAATTAACATGAAGTCAAGTCATCAAAAACATCTGTTAAATCCCTACTATGTGATAGACATTGTGCTAAGTGCTGAGGATACAAAGAAAGGAGAAAATGAAAACAAACAAAAACAGTCCCTACACACAGGGAACTCACAATATAATGGGGGACATGATATGCAAAAAACTATGTACAAACAAGTTGGAAGTATTCTGAGGGAAAGCACTAACATTAAGGGGGACCAGGAAAGGCTTATTGTAGAAGGGATTTTAGCTGACACTTAAACGAAGCCAAGGAAGTCAAGAAGCAGATGTGAAGAGAGAGAGAATTTCAGATATGAGGCACAGCTTGTGAAAATGAATGGTTGGGAGATGGAGTATCTTGTGCAAGAAGCCCGGGATCATTGGATCGTAGAATATGTGTAAGGGAATGAAGTCTAAGAACACGGAAAGATATGAACATGGCTTTGAAGAAAAGAATTATGGAGGGGTGATGTGATATAGTCAGACCTATATTTTAGGAAGATCACTTTGATAACTGAGTGGCAGATGGACTACAGAAGAGAGGGATTTGAGGCAGAGAGGCCAACTAGAAGGTTATGATAGTAGTCTTAGAACAAAAGGGGAAAGCATTTGATCTATAATTTTCGTTATTGTTTTGGGATAAATCAGGAAAATATGAGTGAGTAGATATTAATGAAATGTTTCAACTTGTTCACTCAAGGTTTCAAGACAGAGTATCACCACTTTTGAAGTATCAGAGAAATAATTTTGATGTCTTTTTACCAAAGTTGGTATTATTGTGACTGCTAGATTACACATCTTGAAAGATAATAAAGCATCTTCTGTGCCATGGCAACCTATGAAAATAATTTTACTATGAAAAATGTATTATTCTCTCTCTTAACAAATCTATAGTCTAGATTGTTACTCACCCATCTTATATAACTTTGTAGTACTCCTTTAGATATGATGATTCAATTTGCCATGAAATTAGATTAATTCAAGTAGAAGACAGGATTTTCTACCCATACCCACAATTCACAAAGTGCAAGATAATTTGTGTTTTCTTAGTATATAAATTTACTTCTCTAAAATTAGGCCAGGTGTTTTGGTCACAGCTATTGGCTTGTAAGAATCAATGACAATTGTGGATGGGTTTGCTTCTTCTTCTTCTTCTTCTTTTTATTTTTTTCCCAGAATTCTTCTTCCATTAGATTATGAGTAGGACATTCTCCATGACAACGGCAAATATTGGGTAAGTGTGTTTCTACTTATTTTATATCTTTATGGATATTGATAAAAGATAATTTTAAAAACAGTTATCTCTGCAGTTACTTCTTTCAAGTAATGTTTTATAATATTTTAACATAAGCATGGTAGAAAGCTTGTTGGAGGAGAGCCTTTACAGCTATGTTTTGCTCTTCTGAGTCAACTATGTTTTTTAATTAACAAATAGTAAACACAGTAGGATCTTGTATGCTACATACTTTTCAGTCACAAATATATGACGATGTGGTCTGTTACAGAAAATCATCCCAGACAGTCTGACAACAGGCATGCATTTTCATCAAGGATAGCCTAAATGTGTGTGTAGGCCATTTTCATAATCATATAAAGATGAGAAAATTGTCACATGGGCAAATAGTAAGTAATATCCTTTCAATCACTTTATTTTTGGAAATTGTAATTTCATTATTTGGCATCTTCTTTAATATATCTTGATAGTACTTTTAAAACTGTCAGATTGGTAGGCATAAGTTGTAGCATGTTAGGAATAATGATTTTCATGTAAGCAAGGGATCTCCTCCAAGAAATATATGACTAGAAAATGAGGTAAGCTGATTATGAAATAGAGAGCAGGGAATAACCAATAGATAAATTGAGTGCTATATTTGTGTCATAAGATAGAAAAATACCTTGAGGATGGCTTTAAGCATGGCAACTTGATTTATGAAGGATTTATGGGAGGGGATGTACAACATAAGACATAGATTTGATGTAACCTACACCAATGGAAAGATGGCCTATGTTATCATGACAGATCTATTATTGTACTAAAGTATATTTACAAAATGTTTTGGAATTATTTTATTAATTGATATTGATGACTATCTTTCAAAGTAAATCAGTATCATTATGTCTTATAATAATCATAGAAAGAAGCAATTTGGAGCAAATTTGGAAAATGGTTCCAGCAAATTAGGCAAAGCTTCCAGTCACAACTGGCCTTCTAGGTTTCCTACCTATAGTGCAGAATCCTTTTGTGTGTACTTGAGGTGGTTGTCCCAATTTCATCTTCTTAGGTACAGGATTTGGAGCAAAAACACCTGGATTAAAATTCTACCTCTGCCACTTACCAGCTGTGTAACTTTGAGCAATGTTTCTTTTTAGGCCTCACTTTCCTCGTATGAAAAGTAAGGGGGTTGGACTAGACATTGAAGGTACTTTTGAGCTCTCAGTGCACGATCCTAAGTGCCCTCTCCTTCCTTATGTGCCATATCATGTTCTGGGGTTTTAGAATCCAAATATGGCAGAGATCAATAATAAGAATTGATAATTATAGAAATGCTGATGGGTCTTATCTGTGCTGTTTATTTGCTTTCACTGTAATTCTAGGTATAAACCTTCTTGGGATGATTTCCCTTAATTATTTCTCAGACTCATTTTTTTTACTTGTGGTGGGAGGATTATTCTAAGGCTCTGTCCCATGCAGATTAGGCTAGTTATTTTTCTTAGGAGGTATTGCAGCTGTCCTTGTGATTTAATTGGCTCAGGATGTTAATTTGGCTTCCTGGTCTCCTGAGGTACAATAAACCACGAGGATCTAACTGGGTCCTGAGGTTTGATGGACAAGGCTGGCACAGGTAGGACAGAGGTAGGGGAGCTGCCCTGTGCTGAATCATATCAGTGTCCTCACTGAATTTTCCTGATCCATATCCTTCTGCTGCTATGACTAAGTATATATTTGTTAACTGTCAAATTTTGTACGAGTATTTCCATTTCATTGCAGTATTGAACCTAAATTACTAGAGGACCAGGATTTCCTATAACACTCCTCCACTTTTTTTTTGTTGTTTTGTGAGATGATACTGCTTGCAATCTTCTGTTCTTTCTAATGTTTTATTACTACACTAATTTAGTGGCATTTGATTATTCTGTCTCTCTACTTGTCAAAGAAAACAAGTGTTTGCTGATTGAGATAGTTTCTGGGCTCTATTGACTTCCTTCCTTCTTGATATCAGCTAAACTTATGTAAGAAAAGTGATAATCTGATTTCATGTATTTAAGTTTATCAATTTCTCATTTTTTT